TTTTTCATGATTTGAGATCCTCAACTTGACAGCCTACAATCATCAAAGTTCAACAACAAACTATCCATTTAACAACTTCTTTATTATTGCCTCTAAGGCAGCAATGTTCTCAACATATACTTTAGTAGATTTCCTAATGATGCTTTGTTTAAATTTTACTCCAACTGGCTCACAATGATTTGGGTATCCTAATCATTTGTGATTATGTAAATTTACCTTAAATTTCCACACAATATACATGGACATAAGTTCATGTTGCCATTCTTAAGCCACGACGCATCTTAACCTCGTGCTTATAAATGGCTTCCTCATTAAGGATCTAATCCTTGCTGAGGTTGTACTTGCAACATCAATACTCAAATTATATTTGTTTCCATGCATCAAGAACTCATTCTTTTACTTATCAAAGTACTTTGGACGTTTCTTGATCATAATCTAAAAATCCATTGCTTAGATTCAAGTTGATTGGTATTTTATACTCATCATGCTCTAAGCATGCAGGTCATGAGACGATTCCATATCATAGCATACATGATGGATCTAATTGCAAAATTATTCCTATTTGATCTCATTCATGTGACTTTTAGCTCATCCAATTTCACTAAGTCTTGCTAAACTGTTTGCTATATGATATGGTTGAAAGTCTCCACTAGAGTCTTTCTTGTTTGACTTAGTATTTGCCTAACTTATACTTAGTTCAAACATTTACTTAGTTTTATACATATGGTTGAAAACTTTTCAAGTCCTTCATGTGTTGACACGGTAAATTCCTTTACTCATTTAAACATTTTATTAAGTCTATCCAATAGATCTTAATTCCCACTATATACTAAGTATCACCTTACCTTGGTCCATTGTCGAAAATACTTTCAAATCTAAGCATTTAGCATTCGATAGTCATTTCACAACAGATTTCGTAAACTTCTTGTTGGACCTTTACAAAATTGACTTTTGGTCCCACTAAACTTCTTATCTATAAGAATTTCTATGTTTCTCCATAAGCCAAACCTTTTTCTAACTTTATGAGAAAACATATTCCAGTTCCTACATGCAATGCTCCCATTTTCAGGGACCAAGTGAGAGGGCTACACAAGTGGATGTGCAAATACGAATGGACGATAAAGATGGTCTTTCGGTCGTGCTTGTAGGCACATTTTTGTCTATGGCTTGTAATTAACTAATCTTTGTTTATCATGATTTTGAACATACTTCGATCTATGGTGTTGGACACCGGGTTAGTTGATCACAAAACTAAAACAATGGTTGTTTTTCGAATGTTGCTTTACATATGATTAGACAAACAAGTTTATAATGTTAACGATACCGCCAAAAGAGCTAAGACCATCGAGTCGAATCAAACCTACTTGTGGCATTGTCGTCTTGGCTACATTAACATCAAACGCATCAAGAAACTTCTTCATGAAGGTATTCTTGACTCATTCGACTTAGAGTCGTTTGAAAATTACAAAGGATGTTTATTAGGCAAGATGATAAAGCAACCATTCTCCAAGTTAGGAGAAAGGGCTAGTGACTTATTGGGTCTAATACATACGGATGTATGTGGACCAATGAGTACACCCGCAAGGCAAGGTCATCGATATTTCATCACCTTCACAGATGACTATAGTATATATGGTTATGTCTACCTTATGTCGAACAAATCTGAATCTTTTGAAAAATTCAAAGAGTTTCAAAGTGAAGTGGAAAATCAACTTGGCAAGAAAACCAAAGCACTTCGATCGAATCGAGGTGGCGAGTATTTGAGCCATGAATTCGACAATCACTTGAAAGAAAATGGTATTCTTTTAGAGTTAACACTTCCCGAAACTCCACAATGGAACAAAGTGTCCGAAAGGAAGAATCAAACCTTATTAGAAATGGTCTGATCAATGATGGGTCTCAGTGAACTTCCTATCTCTTTCTAGGGACACGCACTTCCAACCGCGACACTAACACTAAACCGAGCTCCGTCAAAAGCTGTCAAAAAGACTCCATATGAATTATGAACGAAGAAACCTCCACGGTTGTCTTTTCTTAAGATTTGGGGTTGCGAAACATATGTCAAAAGATTAATTTCTAACAAACTTCACCAAAAATCGGATAAGTGTTTCTTTGTGGGATACCCAAAAGAAACCAAAGGGTTTTACTTCTACAAAAAATCCAAAAACAAAGTGTTTGTTGCTCGACATGGTGTTGTTTTTGAGAAGGAACACCTTTCAAAATAAACAAGTGGGAGAAAAATCGAACTCGATAAAGTTCAAGAGGACGAGCAACAAAGTCAACCTGACAAAACTAACAATCAAAGTGCTTTAGAAGCAGTTGTTGACATTGGTTAGAGTCAAACCGACAATGTGCAAAGTCGAACCGACAATGAAAATGCTTAACCTATTACCCTGCGTAGGTCACAACGGCCAAGATCTCAACCAGATAGATACCTCGGTGTTGCCTTAACCAAAGATCAAGACATCCTAGTTATGGATGGAGATGAGCCAACGACATATAAACAAGATATGACGAGCCCCGACTCTGCAAAATGGCAAGAGGCCATGAAATCTGAGATGGAATCCATGTTTGAAAATCAAGTCTGGGACTTGTTTAATTTGCTCGAAGGTTACACACGTTGCAAATGGATTTTCAAGTTGAAAACCGACAAGAAATGTATCTATATATAAAGCTTGATTGGTGGCAAAAGATTACTGGAAAATTCACGGCGTTGATTATGATGAAACCTTTTTGCCAGTCGCCATGCTTAACTCCGTCTGGATTATCCTAGCAATTGCTGCATATTATGATTATGAAATATGGCAAATGGATGTCAAAATCGCCTTCCTTAATGGGATTTTGGAAGAAACTGTGTATATGACATAGCTGGAAGGTTTTGTTGATCCAAGCAATGCTGGGAAGGTATGCAATCTTAAGAAGTCCATTTATGGAATAAAGCCGGCAAGCAGAAGTTGGAATCTGCGATTCGATGAAGCCATTAGTAAGTTTGGTTTTATCAAGAATCCAGATGACTCTTGTGTTTACAAGAAGGTCAGTGGGAGTGACATCACATTCCTCGTCTTATATGTCGATGACATATTACTCATTGGAAACAACACTAAACTGTTAGAGTTCGTGAAGGGCTGGCTTGGAAAGTGCTTTTCAATGAAGTACTTGGGAGAGGCACAGTACATATTGAGCATCAAAATCTACAGGGATAGATTTAATAGGATGATTAGATTGAGCCAAAGTACTTATATTGATAAGGTACTGGCACGATTTAGCATGGAAGGGGCCAAGAGAGGGCACCTACCTATGTCACATGGCATAACTCTCAGCAAGAAGCAGTGTCCATAGACACCTGATGAGCGAGAGAGGATGAGTCATATTCCATATGCTTCGCTTATTGGATCGATCATGTATGCCATGATATGTACTAGGCCAAATGTATCGTATGCCTTTAGTGTTACAAGCCAATACCTATAAAACTCCGGAGTGGCGCATTGGACTGCGGCCAAGAATATCCTAAAGTACCTGAAAAGGAACAAGGATAAGTTTTTGGTGTATGGTGGTAGTAATGATTTGGTTGTTGAAGATTATATCGATGCGAGCTTCTAAACTGACAAAGATGACTCCAAGTCACAGTCAGGGTACATATTCTGCCTAAATGGAGGAGCGTTTAGTTGGAAGAGTGCTAAGCAAAGCACCATTGCAGATTCTACAATTGAAGCCGAGTACTTGGCAGCTTCGGAAGAAGCTAAGGAGGGAATTTGGATTCGTAAGTTCATTAGTGAACTTGATGTTGTACCCTCCATCAAGGGTCCAATAGAGCTCTATTGTGATAATAATGGAGCTATTGCTCAGGCTAGGGAGCCAAGGGAACATCAGAAGGTCAAACATGTCAAGAGGCGATTTCACATGATAAGGAATAGAACTCCGAGGGTGAAATTAGAATCTTTAAGATTGGAACGGACGACAATGTAGCCGATCCACTGACTAAACCTTTGCCTCAAGTGAAGAACAACAAGCACGTTGAGGCAATGGGAATCAAGCATGTTGGAGACTGGCTTTGATTTCCCTGTATATATGTGTTTTAACTAAACTTGATGTCTTAATGTAAAACACTATGTTGAACCATTCAGTTTTGGAGGAATAAAATTTTCTGTAAATTTATTATTACTCCATTTCTATTTAATTGTGGTTTATAATTAAATAATGAGTCCATTCGATTTCTGAGAATATTCAAAACAAGGTATCCAGACCATGTCTTGGATAAAGAAACACCTTTTAAGTGAACATTGAATATTTCAATCGAAAATTATCCCTAATGATGGACGGTTAATGACCAATCAATATTTCATTAAATGATGGACGGTTAATGACCACTTGAGATTAGTGCGTAGTATGATTTATAGCACCATTTCTTGTGCTATGAGGATATGATATTGGTTTAGAACTATACCGGATAGACCTATGAGAATACTTTAAGAGATTTAAAATCGTCATAAGTATATTTCTCATTATAGCTATCAGAACCTTTTTCCTCGACCATGAGTATTGTAAGTTCTTGTTTGAGTACTAGTCTGTTTTGATGTTGTCAAATGTCTACCGTAAAGGGGGAATATAATGGCAACACTCGGGCGACTAGGTCCTCTTAGTAAGGGGGAATATTCTTATTGACAGTCAAACTCGGAAATCGAGAAACACTTCTGGACGTAATAAGGATGACGAAGAATCTTACCTTATAGTTCAGGAAGAGACATTAAGCGACATAGAAAATGGGCTATACACTAACTGCATACTTGTCCGGAAGGACAAGTGGGAGATTGAAAGGAATGGTGTCCTTCCAACAAGTGTATTATTCCGATAGAGGGTTCGGAATTATTAGAAAGCTAATTTTTCAGTGAGGTTAAGTGATCGGGATGCCTAGGTGGAGCCCACTTCTGATCAGTAATATTAATTGGTGATTAATATTAGGGAAATTCTCAATGGTAGCCCTGAACTTTTGGCAATTCTCAATGGTAGTCAATTGGAAGAAGTCATTTCCAAGGCCTTTGTTGTTCTCTTTGTTTTGGAGAGCATGTAATGCTAACTCAGCTTTCACTTTCAAGAAGGCTATGGATCAATTAGGCAAAGTTAATCCAGCTGGCAGGATTTGGCTTTCTAAATTAGGAGATCAAAAGAGGTGGAGTAAACACAAGTTCAACACTGAACTGAAGTGTGATGTCAATGTCACCAATTTTGTTGAAAGCTTCAATGCCACACTAGGATTGGATAGGAGCAGACCAGTTATGACATTACTTGAAAGTAAATCATAATGACATTTATCTGCTGTAATGCTTGGCAAAAGGGTTGCAATTATCTGTTACTAATTTCCCTTTTTATATTATAGGTGTTAGAAGGAACACTATGGTTAGAATGGCAAAAAGGAGGCAGGTTTCTGAGACATGGAAGAGGCAAGACATATGCCCACACATTATAAAGAGGATACAACAGCTTATTCATGAGAGTAGGACTTGCATTGCATACATGAGTGCTGAAGGAGAGTATGAGGTTCAAGATAGCAAGTCTGTGCTCCCTGTAAACCTCAACAACCACACTTGCTTATGCAATGTGTGGCACCTGACTGAAATTCCATGCAGGCATGGTATAAGAGCCATCATTAAAGCAAGGTTGGACCCCCACTCATTTGTCAATGACTGGTATTCAGTCACCAAGTACAAGGAAGCTTACAGCTGTGGGATTAAATCCATACCAGATGTTGAACAATGGCCACCCATAGACATGCCTCACATTAATCCACCACCCATGAAAAGGGGCATAGGGAGGCCTACTAAAGAGAGGAAGAGAGCAGATGATGAAGAAAGGAAGGGCAAAAGGGCTAAGACAGTTAGGTGCAGCAACTGTAAAGCTTTTGGCCACAATGCAGCTACTTGCAAAGGAGGTATGACAGCTAAGCAAAAGGCAAGCTATGGTAAAAAGGGTAAGAAGAAGCAGCAAGCACCACCATCCTCTCAACCAGCATTACGGACAAGATCAAGATCAAGATCTGCTGCAGCTGTTGCTACATCACAGCCTTAAGCTTAACTTTCTTATTTTTATGATAAATATCATCAGCCAAAACATTAATTATTACCTATAAATATTTTGTACTGAAGTATTTTCTATCAGACTTAAAATATGTATTTTGTTCTTAATTAGTTTATATCAGACTGCAGCCACTCTATTCAAATACCAGTGCATTTCATACAACCCTAAGTCCTACATTACATCACAGTACAGAAAATTACTCCATCATACTAAACAGGAAATACACAAACAACACCACAATTGCAATCTTCACACAGCAGCTAAGTCCATCTTTCACTTTAGCAACAATAGCTGACCCAATTCCCCTGCTCCAGAACACAATTTCATCATCATTCACCCACGAAAAAAATCCACACAAGTTGCACTTGTAGTAAGCTATTCATGGGTTGCTCCTTGAGTCTAATATCTTGATGTCAGCGTATTTCTTAGGCACACAGTTGCATACCTTCATCTTTGCCCATTTTTTAGCCATGGCTAATGTAAGAAAAGTTTCAGAGGGTTGGCAGTGGGGGAATTAAGGAGGAGAAGGGGTATTTATAAAGGGAGAGATGCAAAAGAAAGGGAGGGAAAATTTGGAGGGAAAGTTTGGAGCCAAAAATAACCTTAGTTAGCCTTAGTTGACCTAACAAACCGAAATGACCACTTAATAACATAAACTTAACATTTTTTACTAATAAAGGCTACGGAAGCAACTTTTTAAAAAGTTTAGTGCTGCCATTGAGAATTTTTTAAAAACCTGGCTACCATTGAGAATTGCCAAAAGTTCAGGGCTACCATTGAGAATTTCCCTTAATATTACAGCTTAATCTTGATTGAACCCTTCGGGTCACACCCCGATCGAATAACCGATCCGAGACGACGAATCAATCCGAAGGATTAGATGAGTCATTAGAGTATTACGAACAAAGACGTCATTGAGCTTAGAGTATCGAAACCGAGCGTCGCAAGTCAAGTCGAATTTAGAACTCGACGAGACGTAGAATTAAGCAAGCAACAAGTACGAAGCAAGTCGTAACCTCGCAATGGCCTAGCCATGCGAGTGCTACGCTAGGCAAGGGCACCAACCGCATGCATGCTAGTGTGGTGGGCATCACACCCATCCACACGCATAGCCGCAGTTAGGCTGCGCTTAGCATGCAAGCATAGTGCTATGAGTATACGTGTTATGGCTGTGCATGCTTGCTAGCATGCAGCATCAAACTCGCACAACATTAGCATCGCATGCAGCATGCTGTGTGTGCGTATGATATGCGTGCTTACTAGCGTAGCAGCACCAAGAAGCAGCTAGGCCTGACACCTCGCTAACACACGCAGCAGCAGCAGCAGCCCGCAATGCATGCATGGCTTGCTTGCTGCACACATGCGGTGTGCGAGCTGGCAGCCAACCCAACCTTGGTGCTAGGCGCCACCTGGGCAGCCAGCCAGCTGTGCGTTGGAGGCTAGCTCACGGTCATATGAAAGACCGGTATTGGTGGCTTTGCTTGGGGAGCAAGGAGCTTTGGTCCCCCCTGGTGGTCCTTACCTACCCTTGCTCTCCACATGCCACTTGACGCTTGTTGATTCATTTTACATTTTAATTTGTTTTAGATTAAATAAATTAGGAAAAATGCAATTCTCCCACATTGATGGGAAAAGGGAGATCAAGGCTCCCTTCCTTATAAATACCCAAGTTTTGGGTTTTGGAAAAACCACTTGAGTTGAACTTAATAACGCATCTCCTTGAAAGTGAGAAAACCTTTAAGTTCGTAATACTCTAGTTTATCTTTGGTCAAGTCCCGACTAACCTTCGGGATAAAGACCGCTCGGGTCGGATTGAGGGTGCGAGTCGTCGGAGGCCTTCGCACTTGCGAGGCTAGGGCTTTGAAGTAAGAGCTCGTAAGCGACCGAAGCACGCGTCGAGGGTAAGAATGTCATTTCTCTTTCTCTTTTTTTTTTTTTGTTTAATTATGTGATTGCATGTTTAGTTGCTTTAATTAGTGGGCGGGTTTCTCTTCTGCGTAGTGTCGGACACTACGAAACCCAACAAAGGGTACAGTCAAGATTAAGCTGTAATATTAATTATCCATTAATATTACTGATCCAAAGCGACCTTCAGCTAGGCATTCCGATCACTTGACCTCACTGAATAATTAGCTTTCTAATTAATTCTAAACCCTCTATCGGAATAATACACTTGTTCAAAGGACACCATTCCTTTCACTACTAGAAAAAAGACTTATGGCAATGGCAATAATCTGTTACCATATGTCCTGTTAATGTTGCCATATGCCTATAGCAACAGATTATAAACTGTTACCAATAGGTGTCGTTGCTAAAACTCTTTGGCAACGGCTTTCATGCATTAGGCAACATTTATTGTAAACTGTTGCTATAAATAATTATGGCAGCGCTTTTTTTAGGTAGCACTTTTTAACTTATGCCAACACTTATTCAACAACTTTAGGTAACATTTTCAAAGTTAAAGCAACAATTTATGGTATTTTTAACCAACACTTCTTAGCTTGCTATTAGTTGACCTTTAAAATTAAGGCAACACTTTATTTAGTTTATGGCAATGCTTCCAATTGAAACTAAGGCGACACTTTTTAATCTATAAAGACACTTTTAATTGACTCTGAAGCAATAGATTGATAATGCAGATATAAGAAACATGCTTAAAGTGCATATAATCAATAAACTTTCATTTAGAAATAAGCTTTCCAAAAAGTTGTACATAGTTAACAATTTATTACAACTTGATAGCAAAAACATTCAATTTATATATTTCATCCTTTAAACTAATAAAAATTCCAAAACCAAATTCTACAAAATTTATCTTCAAAGACCATTCTAATATTTTTGCGCAAAATCCAATCGATCTTCAGGAGTTTGATGGAGCACTTCATACTTGGATATATAGTTTCCTGCAAAAAAAAAAAAAAAAAAAAAAAAGAAAAATATTAGTTAATAAGACTCTTATGAAAGGTCAATAATTCAATAAAATAGTATTCAATATAAAACAAATATATCTCAAATGAAATATTGAATTATATAACCACTAAGAATGAGCAACAGGAACACTTTGTTCGATACCTCACATATACTTTAGACAAAGCATGACACGTAAGTTCTATAAGATATGATCTCTAATCTTCTATATCCTATCTCTTTAGCCGACACACACTTTCTCTAACTGCCACCAAATTAAATGTCCTGCACTAGTAGCAGCACGCCCTGCACCAGAAGCAGCAGGCCCTACATCAACAACATCAGACCTTGAATTAGTAACAACTCCTGGACAGCAGACCCCCATGCTACACTGATCAGAATAGCAGTCTGCACAAAGGCAACCCCTGTATTTCCACGAGCAGCAGCAACACCTCCCATAACAAAAACTCGCCTCGAAACTAGTACTATATATTTATTATATCCCAGAACAAAATCAAAAACACTTTCAATCTTTTAACCACCTCCCATATTGGCCATATACCACCAAAGACTCAAATCTGACCTTAATACAATGGTAGCCTAGCTAAGAGCAAGTTCTAGCTCAAAGTTCATAGTTTACAATTATATTAGGAAAGTTGACAATTTTTGGAACATGATTTTGACGTATATGTGAATATGTGATTATTAATTACAAATAGAGGAAAAATTAAAGAGCATTGTCAAAAAAATAAGACAAGTCCAATGCTGAATCTAAGAGTATGAAAATAAATGTTTGTTTAGCAAATTTGTTCCAGCTTCATTCTTGATTCAAGATATTCAGAGGTTTGATTTTATAACGGTACTTAGCTTGCATTTAGTTCATTGTTTACTACTAATCACGTATAATAAGAGAAGAGGCTTATTATAGAAGCATTAGTTTTTCTACGTGTTGTTGTGCATGACTGCAGTAAGGTTGCTATGTATGTGTTGCTGTTGTGGGGGCAACAGAATGTAATACAATACCCAAAGCAGATTATATAATCGAAGAAAAAATAAATAAATGCATAAAGTTGTGAGAGTCCGTACAAATAAGATGGAGGGAATTAGCAAAGCTAAAGGAAAAGTTGTCTGATCTTTGATTGAATAACTAGAAAAGTTTACTAAACCATAATATTTTTAAAAGGGTAGAGTATTAAAGACAAACCTTGAGCGGAAATAGATTCTCCTTGTCGTTTTAGTTGGAGCAATGGTCTAAAGAAGACACTTAGATCTTTGTCTGTTATCCATCTTGCTGTATTTGTCGTGCTTCAACTGGATCCATTTGATGTTGAGCGACAAGGAAATCGTCTATTGTCATAGATGGGAACAATGGCTGCTTCTTATTCTTCCTAGGTGGTTTCTCTCTAGTTCTTACCTTCTAGCATAAGAACATCAAGGTAATGAGCATAAAATAAACATTAGCCAGAGGGGGAAAATCATGAAAAAAAGGAAAACAAAACCTTCTTAGGTATAGAGTTTGTTGCTTCAATTAAAACCCCTTTCTCTCGAGACATCTCAAACTCCTCAAGGTCACAAATATCTCCATCAGGCACATAGTCTTGATCATCTTCGCCAGAATTCACGTTCTCCTTTCCTTTTGCATGCTGGTTTTTACTTTTTTACAACAAAGTTTGAGCAATCTTGTCGAGCCCTTATTCTCAGAACTCTTGCGCATACTCTAAACCATCTAATAAATTTAGAATATTAGAAATTGATTCAGCTTTTGTGATGTACTTAAATAATATAATAATTCAGCTGATAAACCATGTTATAAAAGCTTTTAGATCAATTCATCACTCTCCTACTCCTATTATATGATAATCTTTTACTTGTGCACCAATCATGAATATTTGGCAATTGACAATGTAGTACTCCGTAATATTTAGTGGGGGTCTCTACTTAATTCTTACAAGGATAGCCATCATTCCCTAGGAGATTCAAATAACATTATCTTGCCTCATTTAAGATTAGTTCAAATGATCAAGAGAAGGAGAAAATTGTACAACGCCTGACAAAACTCTAGCAATTGCAAGACATCTACCTCTCAAATACGATTACAAATAAGCAGTAGATACTACCTCCTCAACCTTGTGATTTATTCTCTCTACGGCTATCAACTAAACACTACCCTTGCAAGGGATCAATTTATATATCAATCTAGGAAAAATCTTGGAATAGGCTTAGTTCTCATCCTACACATGTTCCTGCTATATTCTTGACATTTATATCATAAGAATTGCCGATATGCTAAAATTATCAAATGAATTGCCCATCTGCTAAACTATATCATACAGATTCCCTAATTATATCACAACAATTTCCCATTTGATAAAATTAAATCATGCGAACTCCCTAATTTTTATATATCTGGAGAACCCAATTTTTCCTTATCATATCAATTCATACAAATTTCTCAATTTTTTATATCCAAAGAACCCCATTTTTCCTAATCAACACTAATATCCCCAATTAAATACTTTAAAATTGTGATAATAATATCATATTCAAAAATTAAAAAACACCGAATTAAAACTAACCTTGTAGGTCGATCTTGAAGATAGAAAATTCGCTAAACTGTTGAATAGCCCTCTTTACGCAATCTTTGAGACAATTCGCCAATTACAATTGTGAGTGAGAAGAGAGAAACAAGAAATAGGGTTTAATTTGTTGAATGAAAATCAGAAAGAGTGAGAAACCAAAACATAAAACGGCCTAATGAAAATTTTCAAAGCCCATATATTATTTTAAATTTTATTTTATTTTTGGTTAGAGATATGATAGTAAACTGTTCGTTGTTGCTATATACTATAGTTAACTCATTCATCTAAAAGTGTTGCCATATTTTTTGTATAGCAACAGTTTTAAATAAATCGACTCATATTAGATTCATTAAGTAAAATGTGTTGCAAATGTTTACTTATAGCAACATTGATTAAACTGTTGCAAAAAATGGTGTTGCTATAGCCCTCTTTTGTTGTAGTGTTTCGCAAACTCCAATCCGATCGGTGGCGTCATCGACGAAGTATACGACTCTAATTATTCATGACTCGGCCACCACTAAAATGTCTTCAAGTCTTGTCTTTGTGTTATTTTGCTATTGATGCAAAATGATAAGTTTTGTTCTAGTTCTTTTTTTTTTTTGGGAGGGGGGAGGGGGGGGGGGGATGATTAACTTGCAATGCATTGATTTTTGATAAATAGATTACTTGAAAAATATGTTTAAGTTAGTTTATTAAACTAAAAAGGTGAAATTTGGTGAAAAAAGGAAATTTGAGACAAGATAAGGCGGGCCCAAGCTCGAGCTTGAGCCGAGCTTAATATCTTAGGCTTGACGAGCTTCGAGATCGAGCCGAGCCTAAGCTCACTATTGTCGTGCTCGAGGTGAGACCTAGAGAGGCTCGGTCTCGGCTCGGCTTCTTAACACCCCTATGTGTGACAATTGCTTTGGAAATCTTCTCAACTATTCAATGAGCATGTCTTGCTCTATCTGATCTTGATTGTTTTCTTTAATTTCATGCTTGATTTAGCTTTGTTGTTTAATACTTTGATTAATGTAGTTGGTCTTCATTTTTTTTTGGGTAAGTAAGATTTTATACCAAAAAGAGGAGGGCAAGCCCTCAAAACTCTAAAACTACACAGTCCGAAGACCAAACAACACAGCACAGCCAAAGCCTACAATCCTGGCAAAGGCACAACAAAACAGAAATAGATAGAGCAAAAAAACAAGGCAAACAACTAGAGACTATCTAAGGCTATATAACCATTTACACTGAGCTCAAGACCATGATTTTCTGATTAATTGATGACATATGTCCATAATCTCCAATCTCACCTTCTTGCACAAAACCCAAGGATGAATCACAGCACCATTCCAATAAGCCTCATTCCTGGCCATCCAAATGTGATATAGGACAGCAGTTAAAGTAGCAAGAGCAGTCTTCTTCTGAATAATATCTGTGCATCTTCTCTTCCAATGTTTCCAGGCAGCAGCAATACTGAAATGCCTAGACTCAAAACCCAGCCAAGAACATAAGCTTTTCAAGCACCACTGACTGTAATTACAGTAAAAAAACAAGTGACTATTACTTTCAGGGACAGCACCACAGAAAGACATAAGTCACTATCACACAAACCAAATTGCAGCAGTTTATCCCTGGTTCTGAGTCTATTATGCACAGCTAACCACGCAATGAAAGCATGCTTGGGAATATTGAATCTATTCCATATCCATTGTGTCTAGTTCACTCTCTGTAAACTGCCCTGTAACCAAGTATAACCATCAGCAACAGTATACTGGTTTTCCCTCCATTACTCACCACTAAACCCCTCCTTCATTTCCTCCTTCACCTTACAAACTCTCTTCCATGCCCATCTTGAACCCTTACTTGGAGAATATTGCCACCAGTCCCTACCTTTTATATACACACCATGCATACAACGCACCCATAGAGAATCAGACTCATGAGCTACTCTCCAAACATACTTCCCTATGGTTGCTTTATTCCACAAAGAACAATTCCTAATTCCCAGACCACCAGCCTGTTTAGGATAGCACACCCATTCCCATGCAATAGGAGGAGCTTTAGAGAGAGAAACAGACCCATCCCACAAGAAAGAACGACAAAGCTTATTAATTCTATCAATAACCCTTTTAGGAAGAAGTAAACATTGAGCCCAATACGAATGAAAGCTTATTAGCACTGAATTAATAAGAACCACCCTAGCAGCATAAGAAAGACTTCTACTAGTCCAGCAGGTGATGTTTGCCATCATTTTATCAACTAACACATCAAAATCAACAATTCTAAGGTAAGTAGAATTAAGAGGTATTCCCAAATATCTAAAAGGGAAATTACCTTCAACAAAACCAGACAGAGAAAGAATTTCAGCTTTTAAATCCTCATCAAAATTGCCAAAATAAATTGTTGTTTTGTCTTGATTAGCTTGCAGCCCTGAAACTTTATGAAACATCTTAAGAGCCTTTACTAGTAGCATAATAGTCATCTTATCACCAGCCCCAAAAAGCATTAAATCATCAGCAAAAAAAAGATGATTAAGCTTTAAAGATCTACACCTCATATGAAACTTGAAATCTTTCTTCTCACCAATTTTCCTTAGAAGTCTGGTAAGATACTCCATACAGATGACAAAGAGAAGGGGGGACATAGGATCCCCCTGTCTGATTCCCCTGGCCCCCTTAAAGAAACCACTTAGACCACCATTAATCATAATAGAGAAGGAAGGAGAAGAGACACAAACCATCACCCACTGCACAAACATCTCAGGAAAGCCCAAAGCCACAAGCATTCTCTCAATAAACTTCCAGCTTAAGGAATCATAGGCCTTTCTTAAGTCCAACTTAATGGTACACCTAGGTGGTTTTCTTTTATTGTTATAATCTTTCAAAAGATCCCGACAGACCATGATATTATCCATAATGGATCTTCCAGCTACATAAGCCCCATGTCCATCACTAATCAACCCAGGTAAGACCTCTTTAAGCCTACCACAAATCAACTTTGATATAATTTTGTAAAACACATTGCAACAAGCTATTGGCCGAAATTGAGTTACATTCAGAGCATTAGCAGTCTTAGGAATCAAGGTCAAAGTAGTAGTGTTGATTTGCTTTAACAACTTACCTTGAGCAAAAAAAATCCATCACAACATTACACAAATCATCCTTTACAATCTGCCAAGCCACCTTAAAAAACTTACTAGTGTAACCATCAGGTCCAGGGGATTTGTCCTCATCAATACTCCATAATGCACTCTTGATATCAGCTTTTGAAAAAGATCTACAGAGCCCAACCTTTTGATTCTCAGACAGAACAGAGCCAGCAGAATTAACAATGGGGTGAATGTCCCTAACCTGTCCCTGATCAGTACCCAACAGACCCTTATAATAACTAACAAAAGCATCAGCTACACTGCCATCAGATCCATTATTATATCAGCAGAATCATTTACAATACCACAGATTCTGTTAGTAACTCTTCTCTTTCTCAAACAGGAGTGAAAGTAAGAAGAATTGAAGTCACCTTCCTTAAGCCATCTCACTTTAGATTTCTGTTTCAGAAAATCAAATCTAGCTTTGTGAGCCTCACTGTACCTCATCCTAGCCACAATTTCATCCCTGATAAGGTTATCATTCCTCGGATCTTTATTTAACTGTTCTAGAATCCTAGAAAGTTCCTTCTGAGCAGCAATATCAACAGTCTCCACATCAGAGAAATATTTTAGGTTAACCTCTTTAAGACCCTTTTTTAGATCCTTCAACTTCTGAGTCATAATGAACATAGCAGTACCTTACCCCCTCTGTTCCAATTATTCCTAACTATATCAAGAAAACTAGGAGCCTCTGCCCACATATTAAAAAACCGGAAAGGTTTCTTAATACTCCCACAAACATCAAAAAGTCTCATACAACATGGGATGTGATCCATAAGTCCCTCTGGTAAGAAATCAGCAGAGAAATGCTTGAAACAATCCACCCATTCACCATTGACCATAACCCTATCAATTTTAAAACAAACTTTATTTTCTCCATCTTGTTTGTTATTCCACGTATAAAATAAACCACCAGTTTTGAAGTCTATCAACCCATTAAGTTTCAAATAGCTCCTAAAATCCTCAACCTCATCCAAAGTACAGGCCGAGCCAACTCTATCTTCAAGATTAAGGACATTATTAAAGACACCTGAAACAATCCAGGGTCCCTTAACCTTCTTAGCAATAGAACTAATCTGATTCCACATAGCTACCCTGTCATTCCCCCTATTCATCCCATAAACAACAGTCATCCAAAAAGAAACATTTAGTGCTCTATGTGTAACCTTTGTATGAATCAATTGAACTTCAGTATTCAAAACCTTAACCTCATACACACTCGGATTTCATATAATCCGAATTCTTCCAGCAGAGTGCTTGGAGTAATTAGCAGCTACAGACCAGTAAGACCCAAAATTAGCAAAGACCCTCCAAAAGTTCTTACTCTTAACCTTACTTTGAAGAAGACTAAAGAGACCCATTTGGTGATATCTGAGAAACCACAGGATATCACACACTTTACTAGGCCTATTGAGTCCTTTTACATTCCAAAACCCCAATCTATCCATGTAAAGAGTAGGAGTATTCCCCCCTCTCCAAACCACCATACAGAACCCTATCACTGACCATCATTCCAGTCAATGATTTGTTCAACTTGTTCTGGGATGGGACATGATTCCAATCAATGTCCTAACCACTGCAGGAGAAGAGGAATGTAGAGCAAAAAGGGGTAAGAAAGGAATGGATCCATTTTTGCTCTACATTCCTCTTCTTCTGCTTGAACTTTATGGTTAAGACATTGACTGGTATCATGTCTCATCCCAGAACAAGTAGAACAAATCACTGGCTTCCATTCATATATTACTTTTTGATGCATCACCTCCCCATTCTCATCCAAAATTTCAATCTCCTCGATCATCTCCTCATTGACATTGATCTGAACCATGATCCTAGCATATGCCATCAATTCTTTTGTTTCAGTAGCTCTGTCTATTTTCACTGGCTTCCCCACTGCACCAGCCAACTTCATTAAAGAAGACTGACCCCAAAATCTAAGGTCAAGCCCAGGCAATCTTATCCTACAGGAACCTCATGCACTCCTTCATCTCGCAGCTTAATTCCTGGTTCCCATCTTTTAGCCACCACAGGTTGCCTATCAAAAAAGATAGGTCCAGCAGCCAAAGCTCTCTCCCTCCCCTCTTTAGTACGAAATCTAACCAGAAAAACCCCATTCTCAATAGCAGCAACTCTATCAACACCAAACCTCCCCCATATCCTTCTTACAAATCCATTCATAATTCTGAATGGTAGCTGAGAGCTAAGAACATAACAAACAACAACAGATTTCCATAAACTAATTTCTGGTTTAACATCCTCAACAATAATCCTCACCCTTTTATCACCATTTCTCCCATCTCCTCTATTAGAAGAAGGTCTCCATTTCTGAGATAGATCAAATCCCTCATCCAGATTTTGTTCAAAACAATCTGATAATTTCTTTCCATTAAAATTGGACCTACCCATATTAGGTGAAGCAAAAACATGATGTTTAAATATAGGGCTACAATTCCCATTATCAGTAATACCCCCATTCTCAAATTCACAGTTATCAACAATCGAGTTCTGAACCATTAATAAGGGAGTTGGATTAACAAAACATGTTATTCATGCTTGCTTTAATTACTTGATTTAAGTAGAAGATGATGATCAATTAGTAGATCATCTTGCTAGGGTTTGGTAAGCATGTTGAATTGATTTTGGGTTTAATTTGGGAATTTAACATTAATTGCTTTGTAATTGATTGGATTGATTTTAAGTTTAAATTGTTTGGATTGACCTCCCTTGATTTTAAGCATGAATGCATGATTGAATTTGAATGACGTAGGATTTTATATTGAATTTATCATAATTGGCAGAGAATTTTATTGTGATTTTCTCTTATATATCTTCAAATGAGGGAGCTAGATTTAAAATGAGGATATCTATTATATGCTCTCGGTTGCTCCTACTACTAGGCCTTACATTGCTAAAATTAGTTGATTCCCCATTAGCTTGAATTTCATGAATGCATATGGATCCTCATTCCCTATAGCTAGTGTTTTGTTTATTTGATTCTTTGAGTTGGTAGTTGATTATTGTTAGTATCTTATTTCCCCATCCTTTGACTTCGACATAGCTTAGGCTTCGTTTGAAACATTCTAGCTTTATCGTTCCTAGTGGTTTGACTTGCCCCTATACTTGTATTAGGGTAGTTGAGTGATTATAAATTTTGTTAAGCCTTAGAAGGTTAGTCTTGTCTCTAATTTTCCTATGTTAGGGGTTTGGTTGGCGTTTAGTGAGGAGATATTTTTGTTGGCAGTGGGAAGGGCCGGCGGAGGGTGGGGTGGGTTGTTCAGCAGTGGGGAAGCAAACAGACTAAGATCGAGATAGCTTGTGGTGTGGAGGATGGCAGCGGGAGGTCAGGGAAAAAGAGCAAGGGGTCGATGATAGGGGAGGAGTTGCGGTGGGCGTAGTCGACAGTTGACCGACGAGTTACTGGTACAAGTGGCGGGGATGGTGGGAAGGGCTTTTAAATTTTAAGTTTTTTTTAACTATTCATCAAAATTATAACTTTTGATTTAAATTTATAAAATCCAATCACATTATGACCCATGGCATAATTTACCCAAACAACTAGTTTCCTCCAAACCCTCTATGTTTTGACTTGTTTTGGGAAGATATCCTATAAAAGTTGACTTATTTTGAGTTAATCAAAAGCTTGACTTATTTTGAGAAGACCGGCTAAAATTTGGCTTATTTTTCAAAATTTTCCTTAATTTTTAAGCTAATAAAGAGAATGACATGTAATTCGATTATTAATTTTCATCTAAATTTGATCAAGGGCGAAAATTACTATAATTAATTTTATAAACTTAGAGCTTGGCATTTTTGTTGATCGATAAAGAAACAAACCACTAAACTTGTTCAAATACATAATTTATGTGTTACATTCATCGACATTTGCCGTACATATTTTTAACTACCTCTATTAGTATTATTTGCAACAAACGGATATTATTTGTGACACTTAAAAAAATTTATTTGTTGCATATAATAAAAAACAGAAATATAAGTACAGGAAGAAAGATACAAGAGTACAATTAGTTCTCTGTCTAGACTAAGACATAATTATTCTCGGTGTTAACTATTATTCAAACGGCGACAATCCTTTCGAATTTCACCTTGGTCACCGGTAAGAGGATTATTCTCGGACATTACTATCATGGCCCTTGCAAACTTGTCATGAAAGTATGTATCATCATGTGCCATGATCTCAACATAAGGCAAAGTAGAGGGATCTGAGGCTAGCTGCTGGTCTACTAGTAGTAAGCCATTATGGTTCAATAAATGCTTGTAGTACATGTTGTCTAAAACCATTGGAGTTTCAAGGTCGTTTCTTGCATATTCGACTGCTTCTGGATCTGGGTTTGGTGTTGGGCATCTTCTCTTAAGATAATTGGCGTAGTCAGGGTTTAATGTTGGATCAACAGTTGGATATATTCGATTTACGATGTTTACACAATGAACTCTTCCAACAGAATGAGCCCCTGATGAATACAATTTCACACCTTTTAGTTTTAATTTACTAATGATTTAGGTAAGTAATGTAAATTGTTCTTGAATAATGCTTGCATTATTGATCTAGAAATCAAATTTAGTCTAGGTAATTGGTTACATGATTGTCTTAAACTTCACGTGGTTAACAAGTCCCACAACTTTTTTTCTCAGGGACAAAAAGTCCAATGGTCACCATACTCACTAATGTGGACCGGATGCTATAATGAGTTAACTTTAAAATTATAGTACTTCCTCTGTTTTTTTCTTTGCAATACACAAAATGTTACACTATTTATTTACTAACCTTGACTAGGTTTGATGATTTATCATAAAGAAAATAAAGTCACGAGAAATCTTGTTAGTTTCGTCTCGATTTATACTTTTATAATATTACTTTTTGCTGTTTTTAAAATATTAGAATTTTCAACTAGCACAATGCATGCGATGTGGCTATTTTTTGGGAAATAGGTTTTGAAATTGACTCTAATGTCTTAAGCCTATTTATATGATATTTTATTACAAATATTTGCACACAGACAATAAATATATTGGATGTTATGTAATTTAAATAAAAACGTGGATGATGATTTACACATCAAGCGTTAATAGTATACCTAAAAGAGCAACTGTTCCCTCGATGTCAACGCCAATTGATCCAAAACGAGCTATAACAAGAGAAATAGAATCATTGTGGTTCGGAATGAAATCTTCAACAATTGCTGCATAACTTTCTAGGCTATCTTTTCTTCCTGTCTTCATTTCTATATACGGCCCTCCTAACTGCATATATTAAATCAAGAGAATTTTATTAATTTATTATACTGTTTTTTAGTAAAATGAGTCCTTAGGGCAATACAAATTATGAATTGAGCTGTCAAAACTCTAAAGTTCAAAAGATTTCAAAAACTTATTGAATAGCGGGTAAAACTATTGACCTATTCGAATCATCATTATTGTACTCGAATATTGGGGTAAAACTATTAACTTATAACCCGATACTGACCACAAACAGATATTGACATCCAACCGATTTGACCGGTCACTCTACGACCCAAACTTAACTTGTACGCGACATGCATGGTATTTACTAAAAACCGATTTGACTCGACTTGAAATGATTTGAGGTCGAATTAGTATTCAACCAATATATAATAATAATAAAATCAATTAAAACCTTTTGTTCACTCATTTTGTGGTGACCAGTAACTTGATTTTATTGGACTCGTCATTGTTAACTCATAATCATCAACCATAACATAAAGTAACATGAACCAAATGTCAACGGAACCTGTTTATTACCCAATTCCAAACAAGAGTTACCAAAATTCATCATGAGTTAATTTGCTTACAATGATAATGGATTTCATTTTAGTCTAACAACATATTGATTCAGTTTACTTAATTCATAAAGCCCTTGTTATAATATAAACTTGTAACATGTTTAAATCGCTTGATGAAAGTGATATATGATAATAGGAGAACCATCCCCAAAAGCTAGCTCAAGTGTCCCACATCAGCCCCCCATACGACCGATGTGGGACTTAAGTGTAATATCTTGCAATGGACCGTAATATACCACCTGTTTGGGGGTAAAAATACCCCTAAAAAACGGACCACTGTTAACGCAACACGTGTCCCAATAGCCTGCTAACACGTGTCAGCCTCAGAGAGGCCCAAAGGGAACCAACCCTCTACTGACACGTGTCACCAAAACCCTAGAAGAGGATTGATCTCCTTCTCTATAAATAGAGGAACCATCTTTATTTATAAAAAAACATACATTGAATACATATTCAATACACACAAAACCGAGCAATCTTCATTGCAGAACCCTCCTGACTCATGAGGGGTTATTACTATTTTTCGCACTATACTCCTCAAACACGTTCTAACTTGATCGTCGGAGGCGGAACTCCCACCCTTGGGAGTCTCCGTTGTTTTGCAAGTACAGGCAGCTGGAGGTCAGTATCGGTGTTGTAACTCTCCCGCAGGACACTTCAAAAAACCCCGAAACACCACCCCTCTTTGCATGCCACATGCCCTCATGTGGCAGGCTTTATGCTAACGATCCTAACCCCGACAATAGCGATGATGTCACCTCCATTCATGTGTAGTGGTAGGCTTTGCGCTAAGTGATCCTAGCCCTAGCCGAACCAGCGTCACCTTTGATCCATCGGCTACATGTAGACACGAAGGGGTGGTGGTTGGCTCTGATACTATTGATATAGAACAATAGGAGAACCATCTCAAAATTTAGCTCAAGAGAAGGAGAGCCCATTGTCCTATATATATATAAACCCCACATCAGCCCCCCATATGACTGATGTGGGACTTAAGCCCGATACCTTGCAATGGACCGTAACACAAAGTATAGAAGTCATTATATAAGTTCAACATACTAATCCAACTTGAACTTGAACTTGACCCAAATAAACTCAAAATTGGTCCCACATAAAGCGTATTCAGCTCATGAATTATGTGATTAAAACCTACGTAACCTAAACTCGAAATTAGTTTTCAAAACCTACTCAAACATGATTCGGCATAATCTAAACCTGAAATAAAACCCGAATAAAATTGGATTTAAGTTGAATCTGACCTACATCCAAAAGGTTAAACAACTCAACATAACCTAACAGAACATGACCCGATCAACCTGAACATGAACCAAATTTAGAGGTTAAATTGAGAAAACATGACCCAACTTGATTTAATAAGGAAAATGATCTCGGCCAAAGCCCCAATTTAATTTGAGCTCAACTGAATACCCGATTTGATAGCTTTAGAGGCGGGATTTGAACTCATAACTTATCTTACATAGATTCTCATTTTGAATTGGTTGGCCAGGCCAAGATCTCATGGCTAGATTAACAGAATGGAGTTCATAAAAATATTATTTGATAGCACTAGTGATGAGGTTTGACTCCATAAAATGACCATAATTTATATTATTTACGTCAATTACATGTGTTAACTTTTACTTCATCAAAGGATATCTATTGACTAAATTTTATGTATATAGTGTTGCTTAATTCTATTTTTGAAAAATACATTTTACTACTCTAAACACCTTATTTCACAATATTGACACATTCTCTATATTTCTCTTTTAACTTCATTCATCTTTATTAGTTAAATCTTAAACTTTTTCTACGTTATTAATTGGTCTTACCATACGCTTGCCATTATCTATTTGTTACACTCACTTAGCACTCCTAAAACCAAGAGCATTGTGTATACTATATAGTATTAGCTAGAGGTGTTAAATCAAGTATTCAAGTTAGATTCAGGTCGGGTCATGTCAGGTTTCAAGTCAAATTCAAGTCGGATCGTGTCGATTTTTTCTGACTTACAAGTCGGGTTCACGTCGGGTTGGGTCATGACATGTGATTAGGGGATTTTTACCCACCAAGCGCCGTTTGACAAGTGGACCAACCAGGTTCCGCCACGCGTCCTCCACGGACCACTTAAGACACGCCACGTGTCCACCCATGCCAAATGGGACAACCGGCCATCAAGGCCCATTTCAGTCTAGAAGCCCGATCGGCCCTAGGTTTACCTTAAACCTAGAGAGTTGCACGCTTCCCAAGGCTATAAATACTCGATTAATCCTCATTAATCGAGGGACCGAATAATTTACGGAACACACTAATAACCGGCTGATCTCGCTAGCAAAGCAGATTACCTACATTAAATACTCTCACCTAGAGAGACCTTATTACTTTAATTTCTGTATTAATTACTCCTTAATCAGGTACTAACTTGACCGTTGGAGGCGGAGCTCTCAGGAGTCTCCGTTATTTTGCAGGTACAGGCGTCCGGTTCCAGTCTCGGAATTGTAACTCTCCCGCAGGACATCAGAAAACCCCAAAACATTTGGCGCCGTCTGTGGGGAGAGTACTTCAGAGATGGCATCCAAGTCTGTACCGACCCCAGAAGAGAGGCGTCCCCTAGACGACCCTCAAGTTCAGTCGGACCATGATACCGAAAGTGAATTTGAAGTTGAAACTCATACAGCTCCAGACGGGACCCTAAGGGCCCGCCGTACCCGTCATACTGAAATAAGGGAACGGGAGTATCTTCAAACAGGAAGCGAGCCAGCAGGCGCACCGCTTGCTCGGCAACAGCCGACTGATGGGTCTGCTCCCATCACAAGGAACGAACTCATGACCTTCATGAGGGGATTCAAGGGAGAGATCCAAGAGTTGATCAACAAAAAACCGCCTGCTTCAGTCAAAGAGCAGGCGGCCAAAAAACCTTCCACTTCACTGAAGAGGAAGCCAGTTCAAGGGCGAGAGGCGACTCCCCATCCTAAATCTAAGAAGCGGGAGCCGTCTGCTCTTGATTTCACAAAACTCCGTTATCCTACGGGAAGTAGGAAACCGGTTCGTCATATTCAGGCGGACGGGTCAAAGCAAACGTTCACAGATGCTCGGCACCTGCTAGAGCAGAAGAAGAGTGACCGATTATCAGAGTCGGCTTCTACTTCAAATTTTCAGGACAGTCTGCGAAATGCCTCGATGAGGCCAACTCAGTCGTACCATGAGAGTCAGTCAGGCGGCACCTCCCGTCAGTCTGGCTTTCATAGTGCGCAGGCGGTACCAAAATTGCCATTTGTGCCGCAACAACAATATTTTATGCAGCCACCTCCATTTGGTGGACCTGCAGCAAAAAACGTCCAACCTATGGACTGGCAGCTACGGCTGCTTAGACTTGGTGAACAGCCGTCGGCCTTCTCCAAGGAAATTACTGAAGCCGCTCAGCCGGCCAAAGTAAAAAATGTTTTAGTAGGCGCCTATGATGGCACTACTAACCCGGAAGACCATCTGATGGCATTCACCAACCTGATGTACCTTCAAGGGTTGGATGATCCCACTTGGTGCAAGTGTTTCCCAGCAACTCTCAAGGGAATTGCACAGCAATGGTTCGGCAACCTGCCGACTGGTTGTGTAAACAGTTTCAGGACGCTTGCTTACTTATTTGCCTCCAACTTTGCAATGAACATCCCTGCGAAGAAAACGACCCTTGATTTGGGAACAATTCAGCAGGGTGAAAAGGAGGGGCTTCGTTCCTACATCAGGCGGTTCAACCTGATGAGAATACAGATTCAAGGGTTACCGGATGAGGTAGCTTATACTGACTTTTTTAGAGGTCTCAAAGACGGGTCTACCTTCAAATTTGATTTAGTTCGAAAAAGGGTGGCGACTCTTCAAGAGGCCTTGATTGAAGCAGAAGCCTATATACAGGCGACTGATCTGTGTACAATGAAACAGTCGGACGGGAAGAGGTTCGACAATAGAGAAGGACGACAGAAACAGTCGTCCAACAAAGATGAAAAAAGAAAAGGGGTCTGGGCGGCTGATTCCTCTAAACAGCCGGCCAAGAAGAAAAAGGAATTCAAACCATACTCCCCAAAGTATGTGTTTAACAAGGATAACCAGTTTATCCTAAAAGAAATAAAGGGACGGCTCTCAATTGAGAAACCGCTCCCCATGAAGGGTTCTGCGAGCAACCGGAACCAAGACAAAATCTGTGCTTATCATGATGACATTGGTCATCACACCAACGACTGCATTAGTCTCATGCGGTACCTAGACCGCTTGGCTGATCAAGGTGATCTTGACACTTATGTCAAGAAATCTACGGGGAATACTTCCTCAAAAAAGCAGTCGGCCAAAAAGAATCAACAGGCCGACAGTTCCGATACAGATGATGCAGTCGTCTACACCATTGCAGGCGGCTTCTCAGGAGGCGGCCCCACTATTAGGGGCAACAAAGAT